AGAAGGAGGAGGAGGAGGAGGAGGAGAAAGAGGAGAAGGACGAGGAGGAGGAGAAGAATGAGGAGACGGAGGAGGAGGAGAAGAAGGAGAAGTAGATGATGATACAGCTGCACGACTTTATCCTGGAGGAACGTGCACGATGGAAAAACTTTATGTTAAAGTACAGCTTGATTTGCTATTATCATATTTCCTCAGCTAATCATGTTTTATCTGATACTGTTACATATTCAGAGAAACAATTTAAATTCTTATGGCTTCACCAGCACAGGATACTCTCAAGATACACTTTGAAACAACGCAAATAAGAGACCACAGAAAATGATTTTCTCACCACGGCCAATCTTTTCGTGCTTTTGGATAACAGCCTGGAAAGAACGCTCGTCGGACTCGTTGTCCTGGGACCGCCGGATGAAGCTGTCGCGCAACTTAGCACGTGGTTTCTGGCGAGGTGAAACTGGATGGGAGATCGCATTGCCACCTGTAAAGAAGGAAGGAGCAATATTTGGCCGTGACTGTCCAGAATTCTTATCTCTTCCTCAGTGTTCTCGCATCAAAGTCAACTGGGAGTCGACAAGTACGCCGACTTACGTGAATTCTGTTCGTGTTTGTTGACAAGTTCACGGAGATGCGAGGAGACAGGTTGCTCAGGCGTGCTGTCATTGGTGCTGGGAGCCTCATGGGGACCACTACTCCTCCTAGAACTTGTGGTGGTCGCTTTTAGTGCTGCAAGGCCTCCAAAGAGTGGACGTCCGCTGGAATCACGAATTTCTGACCGTTTCCTGTCTACTTCCTGAGGCTTATGTTCCGGCTCAAGTTCGCTTATGGGCGTATTGTCAACACTATCTAAAATTGTAAACAAATTTTTTTTAAAAAAAAAGTGAGATTCCAGGTTCTAATGGCAGGAAATATAAGATGACCGTCTTCTGGGTCGTTGCACTGCTTATTCAAGTAGAAGTTTACTGATGTTTCACATGTATTTGTTGCCTCTATCATCATGGTGATGACTAAGCTGAGCGACCTCTGGTCTACTTTGATTTAGAATTAATTTAAAACAATAAATTAATTATATATGTAGGATGGATCTCTGGATGAAGGAACGGTTCATCAAAAAGTCACAATATGTACACAGGTAAATGTTTATATAAAAAAATATAATACTCTGAGTATGTGCTTTCCTATGGATTTTTCTATAAACCCCATAAAACTTACGGAACTGTGGCTAAGACGTGTACACGGCTTACCTTGTAATATCTGAATGTTGTTGTTGGTACTTTGCCGCCGACGTAGTGCACTCAGGCCAAACAGTGGACGTCCATTTTCGTCTGTAGGGCCAACACCATAGCTGGATGTGACACAGTCTGTGGGAAATGCTTCCCTCGGTGGTTCACCGAGTGAAGATTTCTTAACTGGCGACTTCACTGCAAAACAATCAACAATATTATTACTTTTATCAACATGACATGTGATGTTCTCATGGCAGTGAATGGGTCAATTATTGTCTCCTGCTAAAACCCATAAGACCACAGCTGACACATACATCAATTATTTGCCATTTCATAGCTTCCCTTAGTATACCAATTTAACCTATCTTGAAAATATTATTAAAAATTAATTATGTCACGAAAAGCTAGGTTAGTCGTAATTTATTCTACAGTTTGAGCCAACTTTATTAATTCCATGCAGGAAGTTACATTAATTATCTCCACAGTTTAGAACATCTAAACAGAAATTATTTCGTATAAACATGGCTGGGAGAAAAATGAAAAAGTGTTTGAAAGACCCCAATCTACGTACCAACATCAACTTGTAACCGTCCTAGAAAATAAACATTAATTTCTGCACTCAAAATAATATTCGTCTTCATGTGTTGAACCAATAGTTTCATAAAATAGTGATTGTTGTGAAAATCTATATTATTTCACTCTTAACACATCTCCCTTCCACTTACTTTTCACAACATTTAATTTCTTTAAGTAGTCTATATTGTCTTTTCCCAACTCACAATAGCAAGGCTAAAAACCGTGTTAAAGTGAGTGTAATAACAATGGACCAAATGCATGTAATAAATAAATAACGGTGAAGTTGACTTTTATAACTGAGGAGACTTTGTCAACAATAATACGTAGCTCTATTCAACTGTCACTTCAACGATAAATTGGTGGTTCTGCACGTGTTGTGGGCTACGACTTCCAGCAATCTCTCATCACCTTTGTGTTGTTCATGCTGTGTTCGTTCATTATCAGCTCTTTCTTTTACTTTTCTTTCCTTCTCGTTTCCCAATTTACTACGGGGACATGGCAGAAGTATCAACGATAGTAAAGTAAAGTAAAGTTTGTCCCACTATACGCCATGTAGGCGTTTGGGGTGAGTGGAGGTATAGCTCCTCTCTTCCTTGACCTCGGCACTAGATGGGGGTGAGTGGTCAGCATCACGCCCCGGCCGGCTTAACCCCCCGGAAAGGACCCCGGTACCCATTGTAGAGGAGGCTGGGTGGGCCCCAGAGCCGGTCTGGACGCAGAGGCTAGAGGAAAAATCCTCTGCCCCCGTCGGGGATCGAACCCCGGTCGTCCAGCGTTCATTATCAGCTCTTTCTTTTACTTTTCTTTCCTTCTCGTTTCCCAATTTACTACGGGGACATAACGATATGTGTAACGATATGTGTTCCCAAATAAATTAAGTTCAATTGTTGTGTACAGACGCCAACCATTAATAAAACGCGGCATATAAATAATTAATACTTTCAATCCGTATACCTTCCCCTTGACAGACCTATTATTTCACACATTACGAAGTGTACGATACTAATTAGGATGTAGTAGTACAAGACTGATGAATCTAGTTGCACGGTCTGATTCGCCAACTCTCGCTCATGCTCTGTTTGACTAGACCACAGAGACCTCATTCGAGAAGACAAGACACTAAACAGAAATAAATGAACTGCCGTTGCGGTCAGTTGGCTCTCTGCCATGGCCGCCTTTTCAATGTCGTTTCTACAAATGGATGTCGAGGTAGAAAAACCAGCGACTCCTCATTGCTACTTGCCTGTTTAATTCGAGTACACGCTGGAGCACGTATGTAAGAGTATTTTAAGAGATCGAACGGACTGCCGAGGACGTTTCAGGCTTTGTTATGGGTGGAATGGGGACAATGATTAAAGCAGAGCAAACGATTCAGCAAAAACTACGACACGTTGCATTGTTCATGCCACGCAAATCAGAAGCGCAAAGCTCTATGGATCTGTAGGTAAACACTGACATTTTGGAGGAACATACTACCTCCATCTTCAGCGTTACAACCGATAACATGAGAACCTCTGTCATGCAGGAATCTGGTAATCTGAAAAGGATTTAATTATTCGGCTGAACGAATAAATTTTCAGTTCTTACAAAAGGCTCTGAATCCTGTTACAGCCTTAACAGAAGAGGAACAGAGTAGCGACTGTGTTGCGTCTGCGCGGAAACACCCACGGGTTTCACTGGAGGGAAAAAAAAGGCGAGTGTGAAGGACGATTTAATTTGGGAGCCTAACAAATGTAATGGTCAATTGGGACTCTTTAAAGCACGACCAACCACATCCTCCAAACATTAATATGCCCATCTGGCTAACGCGCTCTGTAAAAAAGTCTGCGACCTTGTGAATTTTCTTTTGAAGCGGGGAGATTTCAACAAGATCTACTGTACGTCACTGGCACTTGTATAGATTTAGAACAAAATAATTTATCATCCTCCAGCGTGACAGATCAACGTGGTATGTGATAAAATTGTTTTTGAACGACCTTCATAAAACTAGTGGTTCAAACTTAGCAAGCAGAATCAATATAGAATGGTACATTTTTTAATGCAAAACACGACTGTCTTCTGGAACGTTGCTCCGTGCAGTGTCGTAAGTTTACGGACGTTTAAGAGGTCCCTGCTGCCTCCATCACACCTGATGATGGAGACAGAGCTAGTCTCCGAAACGTTGGTCTTTCGTTCGATACCGAATACGGCTGAAAGCCCGAGAGAGTCAGGAATCTCCCAAACAGAGTGCGAGATTACACATTATGTTACAACATTCAACCGATGCTGTATCAGCTGCAGAGTTTACTTCGTGTCGGATGGCCACGGAGATTTCTTATGTCGTACTGTACTTCAAGTAAAAATAAGGTTAAGCCGTCCGTGTGCTAACCGAAACACCACGTATTGTTAAACTTCGAGCTATGTTAACGGGTGAGTGGCCAGCTTTACCCGCGATGAATAACCCCGGTAACCATAGGACAAGAGGCTGGGTGGGGCCCCTGATCCGGTCTAGGCGCTGTGGCTACGAGCAAAGTCATACTCTATCGGGAATCGAACCTCGGTCGTCCAGCTAGTGGCCTAGTTACTACACTGAGTTATGCGGACTTCGACCCAGATCGTAAACCGTCACGAATGAACTAAAGAAAAACAGAGGCAGGTTTCGAATAGAACAGGCCAACAAGCGAGACGCGCTGACCAGCTGTAACCCAACCGACAGACAGGTAAACAAACATAGTTATCTAACTGTACACTTGTTGCTTAGTCTAACGATGGCGGTTAGATACAGGGGCCAGAAGGTACGTCCTTCCACTCTCTTCTGTAGAATGTACATACCCATTGTTCTCAACACTCCAGTATAAAGATTCTAATAACAATTACCAACTTCAGACACAGTTTACAGCCCTGCACCAAGGTACAAACAGACCTAAACCACACCACGTGTAAAAGAAATGTAATAATTACGTCTCATCACGAAGACCACTTTATAGGATGGCTTTTCCGTTATCCTCTTGCGAGCACAGACCACTGACTGACGCTTGTTCGTCTGACTGGCTGGGCTGGAATGTACCGTTTGTTGTCAGAATGCAGGAGGGTGCCGAGAACTGGAGGGGGAGAAGGGGAAGGAAGAGGTGCTTGTTGGATCATTGCAGTGCAAACGGAGAGAAATGAATGGGAGATTAGATTAGTATTTACAAGAAAAGTCGTTCTTTCAGGAAATAAATAATTCGTGGTTCAACAGCCTTTGCCGAGAAACACACGCGCGCAGATATACTCAAAAGAAAAGAAAAAAATGAAATCAGAATCAGGTCCACCCCCCACCCCGTACAACACACCCTTCTGACCTAACCCGTGACACACCAGACAATGGCGCCCTGTTTGCGAGGCCTCAGCGCACGTCACCTGCGCAGAAACCGTGTTTGTGGCTAGTAACGCGGATCTTGGCAAAGAAGTAACTGAGTAATCTGACTGGTAAAAACATTTCGGGAGACGGAAAGCTACTACTGGCCTGTTGCAAGTGCTCGCCGACCGATAAAAGAGTTTAAACACGGCCGTGGCGATTTGAATCAGCTACAACAATAGGAAAGAATCCACTGTTGCCATCGCTTTCGTAATTTTGCGCGTGAAGTGGCCATGTATACAAACTCGAACGTGTTTGATAATATCTCGCCGAGTTAACATTTTCTTGCTTGTTTGGCTTCGTGATGTTTTGTTGAAAGCCCGGTGTCAGAACTGGCATCTACATGCTGTTGCTATGCAGTTGTTTTTATTAGATTACGGTTTATCTGAAATGCCTAAACTCCGTGTTGTACGAAGTGACGAAATACGCTGACCTCACTGGCTGCCGAGTCAGGAGGGGGCATTACGCGCCACATACACAATTTCATACCCAGCTGCCTTCCCCGTGTCTTCTTCTACGATGCGTCCCTCCTCAAAGACTAATATTTAATATATAACGGTACTTTGGTCCTCATGGTTCCTTTTCTGTGGGGGGGGGGCCGCTAAAAGCCCCTAGGCACGAAGCCAGCAACTCGTCTCAACCCAGCGTTGAGGTTAAAAATGCCTCTATTTTACAAAGAAAACCACGACGTTTGAAGGATATAAAAGTAAGTGGTCAGCCTTGGCATTCATCTATAGTGACTGAGGAAAGATGCGATACGTATATCGCAACGTTTTAACGCTGATGGTTGCTCGACCGGTATGGTTAATTAGAAGAAATCGCGTGATTTTAATCAGTTTTAATTAATAAAATTATTTATTATTATGTAACAAAATGTGGACACTATTTAACTATTCATTTATGTGTACAGGAGGTAGAAGATGATGGTTTTTGTTGGGGTCCTTGAAATATCGTAATATAGGCCTCCTACAGAGGTCCTTAACCACGAAAATGTTCCAAACCAAGGACTGTTTCCAACGGCCGAATTCACGGACAGTCGGTAAATTCAAGTCCTCAACAGCATCGTGTATGAAGATGACAGTCTTCTGGAATGTTACGCTCTGATGCACCTCCGGAACGTCGGTCAAATTTGTATCAGACTACACGGCAGTACAACCCACAAGACAGCCATCTTCAGACCTCAGATCCTACTTTGAGAGAGACGGACATGCACTTTTGACTGCAGAAAAAGATCGACCGCGCAGGTAAGAATTTGCCCATGCGAGTTTGAACATGACACGAAACTACACAAAAGGCCACTGCGTAGAGCTCCTTGTCTTAACAGCGGCGTACTGTGTAAGTAACAGTTTAAACAACCCGGCAACCTGCACGCCTGCGCGGAAAAATCCTCTCATGAAAATCCACCTTGTCTCAACACAATCCACTTGTTAACACAAAATCCTTTCTGGGCGCAATACAAAAAAATACCATTCCCATCGACACTCCCTGTCGAACATGCAATGGAACTAGGATTTTAGCAATGACCTCTGAAACGTCGGCATATTTCTACCAGACTACACGGTGCCACAACCCATCGACTGTAAGTTCTAGACGACAGTCATCAGTAATCACCGCTGTCAGAACCTCAAATTCTACTTAGTTCTTTGAAATACAAAAACTTTAATTTGTAAGTTGTTGCTTAAGCCACTGAGAGACATTACTGAAGCAGAACCAGTGCAGCACTGACTGATACAATTCATCCGGGGATCGGGGAGGGGGGGTATTTCCCCCTACACTCAAACAGAAATCAGCAGGTAAGTCCACAGACCGTCACGAGTTCCGGCCAAGCCCCGGATCACACGTAAGAAATAACCATGCCAAACGTGAATGTCAGCTTTAAGTTCCGGCCGCTTTACCTCCGGGTAAAGAATATTCGATACGCTTTGGATAGAAGTCTCTCCGGACGGGACAGCAAAGAGAAATATCTCCACCCCTGTCCGTCGTCCAACCTGTAGCCTGTCACCATCCTGAACCACCCCGTCAAAACACCAAACACCCGAATTAGGGAAGGAGGTTGAAACAAAGTAGGCCAGGAACGACTAAACTCGGGCCGCCGTGATTAGAAACAGCATTTTGTCTTAAAATGGTGTTATAAATTACTTGCACTTTTTCTCTCCAACGTAAAGTAATCTTATTTATTTACGGTTTGATGGTCAACCGAAGCGAAGTCCTACTAACCTCCATGGAGTTTCACTAATGCGCCTGCCGATAAAAGGCTTTTATTGAGGCCAAAGCTTGTATAAGGAAAATCGGGCCCGTACCGCGAAGAAAACACCACACTTCACCATTACAAAGATCATCTGGTTAACGCTGTTTAAGGAAATAATCGCTGTTACAACTGAGAATCATACGAAAATATAAAATGCTGTTAATGATTCTTAAAGCAGGTGGTGCATATAGTTACCACTGAGCTTTAAAGAGTGAAAATGGTAACACGCAACTACAATTTTCATTATTAACGTCTTTCATACGTACAATGATAACAGGATTGTGACAAGTACGGAAACATGGCCGGTTCTGTCTTAACGTATACGCCCAAAAATAGCTCACCAGAGCTGACTATTTTTAAAATTAGCTCACGTCATGCATATAAGAGTTGATATGACATCAGAATTTAAATATATATAGCATAACCGTTTTAATGTGTTTTTACAGTGCGTGTCAGTGCGTAGTTAAATATCGCCCAATCTTATAGACACGTAAACCTAAATAATATTTAAGATAATTAAAATAATTAAAATATCATTCTGTGTTCCATATCGAATAATCGATTTCCAATAAGAGTTAGCACTGCGCTTTAAAAATTATTGTTCACTTTCTTAAGGTCAAAATCCAGGCAAACCGAAATGACCCCGAGCGTTTAACCGCTGGATCGTGTCTCACATCAGCAGCCATGATTGCATTACGAACAATTTTTCTGGATCGTGACAAATGAAACGGGATACACCCAGAAATCGTTCTCTTCACCTCAAGATCTTTAAGTTGACAGAAAGAGCTTACGAGTACGTACGCTTATCGGACACGTGGCTGCTGCCTCCCGACCGCGGGCACAGTTTTCAGCCTACTTTCCTTTCCCCAGGAAAAAAATCTAGACTTCCGCTATCCCCTTAGAACGTCTGAACCAGGTGACCGATTTCCAAAAAAAAATTCTGTATGAACGTTGCGCAATTGAAGGCGGAATGGTGTCCCGGAGGAGGGTCTGTTAAATATGCTTTGTCCGTCCGCCCATCTGTGCGTAGTAAATCTAGAAAGGCTCAACAGATTTCTTGGAAATTTTCACGAAAAACGTCGAGACATTTCAGATATAATTTAGCGAACACAATTTTCCTGGCTACTTTACCTAAGATCACTTTCTAGATTCAATGTCATTTGATCTTCGTAATGGTGACGCGTTGTGTGTTTTCGACGATAGGAATCGATCTTTCATTTACGAATTCCAGTTGTCATGACAAAGGCTTATGATATATATTAGTAAATCTATCGACAGTTTATTTTTCGAACACAGTAAACTCTTGGTCATTACAAATCTCAAGAACCTTTTGACTTTCTTCCAATTTTATACCGAAAGTCATTTATCTTCACGAACTGAACAGTGCGAAAAGTTACGCAACGCGTACAATTCCTAACTTTATAGTTTCCTATAATCAGCAATTACAACATGGCGATCGTGCGAATTATGAGGTTGGAGCTACATTACCACCACTTAAAAAAATGAGTTTTGAAATATGTAACTTTTGTTACGGTAATATTTCGTGGAATGTAAAATAACAATATGGCGGCCGTGCGTAATTTTAATTTAGTTGTCGATCTGATGGCGATAACTAATGAATAAATGAGGATAAGCAATTGAAATTTGGTATGGAGATAGATAACAAACATATATATATTATACGTCAACAGTTACAAACATGGGGACGGTGCATAACACGAGGCTGTAGGTGGTAAATCTGAACTTCAGTACCTAGCAAGTTAATCAGAAAAATAGAATAATATTCTATAAAATTCTTTAAATTGCAAGTAATAGCAATAAAAACCTTCACATACGAGTCCTGCAAGCTTAATTCCTGAGACAAATTGCATATCTTTGTAGAATCTTGTTCTGACATTGTAACTTACAATATACCATTAGCAACGCAATGTTAGTAGGACTAGAAATCTGTGTAATAGGAAAGTAGGCTTTGTGATCTTGCATTTGGTCTCGCTGTTAACGAGTGAGGTTCGTTGTGCTGGCCAATCAGCAAACTAGGACGTTGACAAAGCTTTAAACGAAGGAAATGTCATTCGACAAACAATCACAGCCAGCCGATACGACAGACTCTTTGTTGTGTGGTAAAAGCTTTCCCAACAGGAAGTACCTTTGCATTTTAACACATGAACGCCCCTTTCAGAGTCCGTACGAACTCTATCAATTCCGGGAACGATAATTTACGAGACAGAAATGGAGAATGTGAATGAATTATTCGTAAAGAAGATGCTGACTGAAGGTTAGTGGCGCTGCAGGAATGAACAAATCACGACGGCTCCACCTCGTACTAAGCTCCACAAGTCTCAAAGGCGTGATGCGAGAAACGACTTATGAATATCGATTCTTTATCGATCAAAGCACGTTTATCGCATCAGTTCTTGTTGTCATGTATGTTGTTCATTGTTTGACTGTAAATGTATTTTACACTCCGTAAGGAAACTGACTGATTAAACAACTAATAATTTATCAGAACCAGACTGTCTTTCCTCAGAATAAAATAATAAATTTCTTCTCACACAAATTAGAGCCTTGCACATCTCAATGTCAACTCCAAATCCGAAGGCTATGAAATGAACAAGCAATCAGCATACGAAGTAAAATAGGAAGATATCAAAATATTCTGCAGTTTACTTAGATCTATAAAGCGTTTTTATCGAACCGACTACTGCACGTCTATTTTAAGCCCAGACTAAAACATCATCAAGTCTGCAAGCGTCACACGTCACACTGTAGGAGGAAAAATGTGAAAATTCTGCCAAAAATGATAGCACATTAAGAATAAATCGATCAGGGTTAATGAGATCTGCGGCTGTAAGACGAAAATAAATTTTCGGTGCCTGAAATGGTTTTCATCACTCGCTAATGACTAGAGACAACTCAGTCGGTAAAGTGGATGGCTACGTGCCGGACGACCTGGTGGAGGGAATTTCGCTTTTCGCCACGACGCGAAAACCAGAGGGACTCCACAGTTCGGTCAAACCCGCAACCCGATCGATACCAGTGGGCGAGACGACTGGAGTTAGGAGTCCATGGAGTTTTACGACCACCAATAAGTGTTCATGGCGGGGATCTTAAGAATGTGGAAAATTTTACCTCCTTCACCTGGTGAGGCGGACACAAAGCAAATCAGCGTCTAATTATACATAATAAAGTGCACGGAGTTTCACACTCACCAGGTGATGACGTGGCCGGCCTCAATTCAATGTTGAGCTCAGTCTTCGACTGCTTTCTGACAGGACTCGACTTCCAGTCCGGAGTTTTCTCAGGCACAGGCTTTGAGTCGCTGGGAAAAGCAGAATGAGATTTGGGCGTGGTGTAATATGGTTTTGAATCCTGAACCACCGGAGAACCACTTTGCTGTTTCGTTTCCAGGAAAGACCTCTGCATTAAAGACGACGTCTTGTGGCAGATGTCAACATCATCCAGTCGCCTTTCAGATGGCGCGGAGTCTCTGACGACAGGTTTTTCATTAGTAGAAGGCTTCTTCCTATAAATTTCGGTGTGGAAGTCGCTCTCAGCGGCAGGTTCCTGCTTGTTGCCTGCTGAGAACTGCTCAAAGTCACTGTCACTGGACGGTTCAGATTTTCCTTTTGATTTGTCAGTCACTGCAGACTGCTCTGCCATCAGTCGGCGTACGATGCGGATCTGCGCTCGAATGGAACGACGCTGATCGTAGCCCACCGCCTTCTCCAGCTGTGGAAGAAAGCACTCTGTCCTATTCCATTTTGATCTCTAATAAATTGTGGGTCTTTGTTTAGTTTGCATAAACTGAATTCATTTGACTCAGGATGGCGTCCAGCAACGAACCTTTGGAGTCCATAAAAGACAAGGAACTTCTTGATTGGCTGACTCTCAGTGCCTTGTCATCTGTTTGAATGAGTGTGACTGGGGGAGTTCTCACGAAAACCCCTGACTCTCAGTACCCTGTCATTAGTGTGAATGACTGTGACTGGGGGAGTTCTCACGAAAACCTACCGCCATATTTTAATTTGAATATAAATACGTAATAAAATAACAACTTACCAGTCTCTCCAGTAATTCAATGTCGAAGATCTCCTCAATATTAGGTTCGTCTCCTTTCTTATCTGGGCCTGCTGCATGCTTTGGCGACTCTCCGCTGAGACGCCGTTGCACTGTCGTACTCACGGTAGATCCCGTGCGACGTAAGTTCACCCCAAAGCGTCCGCTACCTCGAACAGTACTTGTCTCTGCGTGTTTGTTTTCTTCCTTGAGGTGGGATCGATTTGTCTGGGAATCTTTCCTCGGAGTCGTAGGTTTTGTTTCAGGTCTAGTCGGCGAGGTTCTTTTGGGACTTGTCTCCCTGCTAGATGGAGAGCCCTCACGAAGGTACCTGTCGTCTGACCCTGGCTGCTTTCTAGTTGGGTGACTCTCTTTTCTTGTTGGAGATGTTTCTAATGGAGTTTCATCTTTGGGATGTGAATCATATGGAGAAGAAATTTCTTTTTTAGGAGGGGTAATGTTACGAGAGTCATCTCTAGAATATGAGTCCTTTCTTAATGGATAGACATATTTGGGAGATGAATACTTTCCAACAGGGGAGCTCTCTCTAGAAGACCACACTTCAGGAGATGATTCCTTCCTTGAAGGAGACGTGTCCTTGGGGGACGTGTGCTTTCTGACAGGGGAAGTATCTCTAGGAGATTCCCATTTAGGAGATGATTCCTTCCTTGTAGGTGATGTGTCCTTGGGGGACGTGTGCTTTCTGACAGGGGAAGTATCTCTAGGAGATTCCCATTTAGGAGATGATTCCTTCCTTGTAGGTGACGTGTCCTTGGGGGACGTGTGATTTCTGACAGGGGAAGTATCTCTAGGAGATTCCCATTTAGGAGATGATTCCTTCCTTGTAGGTGATGTGTCCTTGGGGGACGTGTGCTTTCTGACAGGGGAAGTATCTCTAGGAGATTCCCATTTAGGAGATGATTCCTTCCTTGAAGGAGACGTGTCCTTGGGGGACGTGTGCTTTCTGACAGGGGAAGTATCTCTAGGAGATTCCCATTTAGGAGATGATTCCTTCCTTGTAGGTGATGTGTCCTTGGGGGACGTGTGCTTTCTGACAGGGGAAGTATCTCTAGGAGATTCCCATTTAGGAGATGATTCCTTCCTTGTAGGTGATGTGTCCTTGGGGGACGTGTGCTTTCTGACAGGGGAAGTATCTCTAGGAGATTCCCATTTAGGAGATGAAACCTTCCTTATTGGAGATGTATCCTTGGGAGATGAATTATTTATGGTAGGGGAAGTATCTCTAGGAGATTCCCCTTTATAATATGGCTCCTTTCTTGTAGGTGCCAAGTCTTTTGAATATTTTGTGGTAGGATAGTTTTCCTTAGAAGATGTAACTGCAGGCTGCACAAAACTCACAGCATCAGATTTATCTCTGGGGCTACTGAATCTTCCAGTACGAGGAGAGTCTTTTGCAGTAATGTCATCTTTAGGACTGGTAATCTTTCTGGATAGGCCAACATTTCCTGGCTGATCCTTCCTCTGAAATGTTGAGGTCTGTGAAGGGCTTTTTTCTCTTCTAGGATAAGTGTCATATCTTGTTGGTTGTCCCTTTTCAGATCTTGGTCCAGTATCCTGTCTTACTGGAGAATCCTTCCTTGGGGCAGAGTCTTTCCTGGTAGGAGAAGTATCATCTTTGGATGGCTTCCTTTTTGGATACGTGTCTGTTGAAAAGTTTTTTAATGGTTGTGAATCCTTTCTCTCAAAAGTAACAGTGTTGTGGGCATGATATAAGTCCTGTGAATGTTCTTGGTTTGAATAAGTTTCAGTTCTGGAGGGAATGGTATAATTTGGGAATGGTTTTTTCTTTGTGAATGTATCTGTGCAATGTTTTGTATCACTTCTTACTGGTACATCATTATCAGAAGGATAGCCAGATGTTTCAAGCTCGTTAGGATGGTCGAACTGTTCTGGTTTCACAGAAGGTGCCACACATCTTGCCTCAAATACTGAAGGCCTGCTCAAGATATCTTTCTGTCTCAAGATTTCTCTCTGCGTTGTTGTATCCTTAGTAAAGGTCTCAATAAGAGTGTAATCCTCCTGTCCTGATTGCCTCCTGGGGTGCATATCTTGTGGCTTATCTTTCCCAAGAGGTGAGTCTTTCTCCTTTGAGTGTGTGTCTACAGAAGGCTGTCTCTTTGGATACTCCTGAGTTTGTCCTTTCTTAGGAAGTGAATCTTTCCTTGTTGGTAAATAATCTTTAAACTCTGGAGAATCATCATGTGATGGCTTCTGTTTTGAGTAACTATCAAATGATGGCTCCTGCTGAGAAACTCTTTTGATTGGTCGATCATCCTTTACTGGAGAAGTGTCTCTCTGTTGTGTGACACTAGGTAAGTGTGATTTTACCACGGTTGGTTTAGATATTGGAATGTTTCTAGAAGACTTCGCCTTCGTATAGGTATCATAATTCCTGTTATCAGGGTGTTCTGAAATACCAGTTGGCTTATGATGAAGACGTGCATCACTCGGCATTTTAGATGTCGGAGAACTATCGCGAGGTTGAGTGTATTTTGGTACTTGGCACTCTGGGAGTTCAGGAGAAGGTGACTGGTGGTAAGTATAAGTGTTTGTCAATGACGTTCTTGGTGTATCTGCACCCTCTTTGCTTGGGAATGGATATGAATCTCTGTAATATGGGACATCCTTTTCTGTAACAATAGGAAATTCATTAACTGATGGCTTCTCTGCAGGATACTTGGTATATGGAGTCTCGCTCAGAATACTGTCTTTCTCAGGAAACTGCCCTTCAGTGAATGGTGTTACATTTCCAGGTTCACTCTGATTTTCTTGATCGCTGGAATGATCTATGTCTGTTTTTCTGTTCTCTAGTGTAGGGGACTCCCTCCTGTGAGTATCAAATATGTTCATAACCTCATTTTGCCTTGTAGTTTCTTTATGTGTGGAGGTCTGAGAACTAGCTATAGTTTCAAACATTGCTCTGGCCCTTCTAACAGTGCTAGGACTATCCAGAGATTTTTGGCTGCTGTCAATCGATTGTGGTGGCTCTGAAGCTTGAACAGTTGAACGTGCTGAATTTCTAGTTGTGTCCAAGAAACGAGAAACTCTGTCTGCTACATGTCAATTGATTGTGGTGGTTCTGAAGCTTGAACAGTTGAACGTGCTACATTTCTAGTTGTGCCCAAGAAACGAGAAACTCTGTCTGCTACACTAACAGACCTGTGAATGTTATCAGTTTCTGACTCTTCATCTAAATCTGTAACTTGTACTGAGCGAGGAACCACAAAGCTTGGGCGATCATTTGGTTGTGAACTTTCCGCTGGTTTTTTAGCCTTGGGTTTGCTGTCATCATCTGTATACTCTTCATCAAAATCCTCTGGATGTATAATAGGTTTCTGGAATGCTGCTGGCTTTAACTTGTATGGCCTTGATATATCATCATCATCCTCAGGTTCACTAATTCTGTCAGCATATCGTGGCTTAATTCCGTCCTCCGCTGTCCGTCTAGGATATTCAGGGGATGATTCCCTGGATGATTTGAGAGGTTGTATAATGACACCTGGAATGTCATGGCTAGGAGACAGGAGTTTATGTTCTGATGTTCTTAGTGCTGTTAATTTGGAGGCATACTGTAGTTCATCTATTCTCCTAAGCTCTTCTAGCTCCTTTATGTAAGATTCGTTGTGCTCGTCATCTGTGTATATAAAAACTGTTTCCTTCTCATCATCAGTCAATGCTTCAGGTACTTCCTGTTCATCCTCCGATGATGAGGCAAGTGCCTTTTCTGACACCCCATTCACTAATTTCTTTTTAGTAGTCTTATTGCTTATTTCTATAGTTTGGTTCTTGGTATCAATTTTCCTAACAGCAGCAGTGGCTGTTGGTTTAGGCCTGTCGTTAATCCTATTCTGTTCTTCAGTACGAGCAACTTTCTTTATAGCTGGCTTCACTGGAGATGCTGGTACTTTTGTTGTTCGAGTAGTCGTCACTCTTGCTGTTGCTGTCGATACAGTGGTTCCTTGCTGTTGCCGTGCAGTTGATGTGTTTCTTGTGATGGTAGTCTGCAAAATGGCCATTTCTGGTTTTGATGTTTGGCATCTTGGTTGAACGCCACTAGGAGAAGAAGGATGTTTTCTAATGACATTCTTGTCACTGCTGGATCGTGTTATTCTTATGTCTGCTGCAGTTATATCCTTTGGCCTACTCTTTCTCTGACTGGTTGGAATAATTTGTTTTTCAACAGCTGAGAAATGAGGTTCCTGCTTCACTCTCTGTGTTTCACTTGTTATGGTTTGTCTCTTGGAGATTTTCGCAGTGACAGTTACAGTTCTGCCAGATTTCGAGGGAGTAGGAGTACTTTTAGTTGGTTTACTTCTGGGAGATCCATCCCTTGGTACCCTAGTCTGTGAAGCACCTCTAACACCTTCAGGAGATTTTTGAGGTTTCCCTGGAACTGGATATGACTGAAATGGTAATCCAACAGGTGAATCATCTTCAACCAGAAATTCTTCTGGTGGGGCTTCATCTGGTAAATCATCCACATCGTACTCATCGCTGCAGTATCCTTTGTGTCGTTTGTTCTCAAGTGTATCTTTGGTTGTTCTTTTTTTATTTGATGTGATTGAAATTGTCACAGATGTGGGTACAATTTCACCTGTCTTTATAATCTTAGTGCCTGTTAGAGTGGAAAGAGACACAGGTGTGTCATCTTGATTATTATCTGATGGTGAGGAGTCCCTATCATGCGACAGCTGGGGTACAAACAACTCCAAACGTTTATGTGATGTTGCAGTAATTTGCAGACCAACTACCTGGTCGCTAGCGATATATGTGGTGTCTACTGCAGTACTATCTTCTGCAGTTTTAACAGTTTCAGGACTCGAAACAGTTGATGAGCGGTCAGTTGATTGTTCGTCATCTATTTCATCTGGTTTCTGCTGTTTAGGCTCCCTTGTAACAGAATTATATTTTATTGGAGAGAGTCTTGTAGATTGTTTAACTGGACATTCTTGGCTTGGATATTGATCAGAATTATAACCAGGTTTCCCAAGAGATTTTGAAAAATTAGTACCAACTTTTGATGTTTTTGGAGTTTTAACAAATGCGGATTTGACAGGAACAATGTCTGATCTCGATTTCTTGAGCTTCTCAGTTTGGTATCTTGGGCCTGATGGAGATGAGCTGGGAAGTGCTGGACCTTGACTGAATCTTGCTGGAGAGTGATCAGTTCTTGCAAGTGGTTGACTTCGTCTAGCAGGTGATTGGCTTTCCCTTGCTGGCGAATGATCAGGTCTTGAAGATTGTTTAGAAGGATACAGTGGTGAGTAGTTAGGCCTAGATTTGTTTTCATTAGGTCTTGTTAATGGCTGACTGTGCCTTACTGGTGACTGACCTGGGCGGTCTTGTACGCAACTGCTTGGAATCCTAGATATTTTTTCTGGACTGGATGACGGAGAAGAACTCTGCGGTATTCTAGAAGAAGGTTTTGCCTCAGAAGGTCTAATTTTTACCGGATTTCTGTGTCTTTCAGGGCTAGATGAAGGTGTTTGATCAGGGCTTCTGGACACATTGCTTGAATCAGTAACTCTATCATGTAATCTTTTGGGAGTTGTTGCTCTGTTTGGAGATGCTCTATCAGGACTTGAGTGGGGGGAAGGACTGCTTTCTTCTGATTGTCTCCTGGGTGTTTGTGCACTACTTGGACTCCTCTTAGGTATCTGTTTACCATAATTCAATGTAGCAACTTTGCGTGCTGAATGCTTCCCACTTGGCTCAGGCACACTTTTAGGTTTTTCTGGAATATGGGATGGTGACGGAAGAGAATCACCTAATTTTTTTATTATTGGCTTCACATGTGTATCTGAGATCTTGTTAGAAATACAAGTCTGCTTAGAAGGTGAAGTATCGCCTGACTTCTCAGTGCGACTTCTTATTGGAATTGTGCGTCTCTTCAGATGGTCTCTCTCAGGACTAACGTCTGATGGGTATTGTTGATCTGGCTTCTGAGGTACTGCTGACTGACTTGGATAATCCTTTTCAGGCCTAGGTTTCTTTTCTTGGGGTGAATTCTTAATTGGTGTAGTAAATGTCAGAGTAATTTCAGCAGTAGTCGTCAATGGTCTTTCCAGACTGGAAGAACTTGGTATTTCACTTGCTTGAACACAATTTTTATCAATTTCTTGGTCTCGTGTCTCCAGACTGGACGAACTTGGTATTTCACTTGCTTGAACATAATTTTTATCAATTTCTTGGTCTCGTGTTTTAGGCTTCCTTACACATTCAGGGAACTGCTTAATTTTATCATAAACATCCTCTGGATTTTCCTCCTCTAGTTCTTCTGATGGCTGACACAGCTTTCCAATTGTATGTCCTGGTTCCTTTCGTTCAGGAGGATTACCTACGGAAATGGAACCCAAATCTTGAGGGCATTTTGTTGTGTGACTGTTAGGTGTTCTCTTTCTTGTCGGATACTTGCTATTTTGATCAAGCTTATCTTTAGTTTCCAGAGTCTTTTGTTTTTTAAGGTGAGTGGAGGTTGTGTCCATGGGTGTGGAAGGTTCAATACTGAAAACATCAGGCTTTCCTTTAGCTGATGATGGAAACTTCTGCCTACTAGTTGGACTTGAATAATCATTTTCAAATGCAGGTGATGTGTTTGGCCTCTCTGGAGACTTCTTGAAATCAGTAGCTCTTGTAGATATTGGCTCTGGAGCCTTGACTGGTTCTCTGATGGTGCTGGGCTCTGTTGACGGTTTCATGAAATTTTCAATCTCACTTTCCTCCTCTGTTGCATCATCATCTTCATTCTTCCTCTGAAATGACTTTGTTGGTGATTCTGGCTTCCCTGGACTTGCTTCAAAAGGGGCTTGTTTCTTGGGATGAGCAAACTCAAGTGTGGATGGACGAATTTCAGGACTTGTTCTGAAGCATTTTATAGGCTTGAAGTTTTCTCTCTCTGGACTCGAATCAGGAGACTCCTTTGTGACGTGTCTTGGCTGCTTCACAGGGGAAGACACATCTCTAGGCGTATCAGCCGTCGACTCTCTTGGATACAGTTCATTCACAAGTGAACCCTCTGAACTGTATTCTGGTGATTTGTCTCTTGGAAGTTTATCCAGCATTGATTTGGGTGATTCTGTGTTTGTTGTTGGAATATCGGAAGGCAAACTATAATTTGATTCTTTACTGGAGGGAGTGATTTTAGTGCCTACGTCATCAGGTTTAGTTTTCTGTGGTGAAGGACTCCTCTTACTGGGATGGAAAGGTTCATCTTTGGATGATTTCCTTACAGGCATCTTTGCTGTTGTGGGTGTTGAATCGTCACATTTCACTGCCTTTCCTTTGACTGTACCTTTTGGTGAAACCTTTCTTGATACAATGTTAGTGCTGGAACAGACTTCTTGAGCTCTCTCAGGACTGGATGACAATGGCGACTTTGTCTTAGTTCTTTCAGAGCCGTCATCTTCAGAAAGGTTTTCACTCAAGTCAACATCTTTATGAGGATAAGGAACAGAACATGACTTTCTTCCCTCTGGTACTTGTTCATCTGATTTATTTTTTATTTTGCTCGACAAAACAGTACCATCTTTTTCATCAGTTGTTATAGATTCTGTACTGATTTTGTTAAATTCTAATCGCTTAGAAACTGTTTTTGCTTTGTCAGTTGCAGTTTCCAGACTACTTTTATCTGTTTTATCCTCAGTGTAAATTACATTTCCAGGTTTCTTAGGCTTGGCATCCGTATCACTTCCCTCAGTGTCAGTATTAGAACGGGACGACGCTCCTCGAGAACGGGGTCGGCTCTGTCTTTCAGTAGAAAGAGTGGTTTCATCGCTGCGGGTTGGACTAGTGTGAGGGGAGACACCCGGTGTTGAGGATCTCTTCTTAGTTGTCGCTCGAGAAAGACCTGATGATAACTTGCGTCTTTCTTTTGTTATTTTAACAGCTGAATCCCTGTCAGAGGTAACTAATGCAGAAGAAAAAGTCTTTATGGAATCTGACGTTTTTCTTGTTGGTGAGTAAGCAGTGACAGTATCATGTGGTTTATCACCAGAGCTGACCCTCCTCTCTGGCAAATGAGAAGTTTTCCCCTGTTGTGAATTATCAGAAGAACTTACTGTTGGAGAAACTTTTTCAGCATGTAAAGGTCTTGTACTTTTCTCAGGGCTTGCTCTAGGTGAAGACCTATCATTCTGTGGAGTCTTTGTTGCCTTTTCTGGACTACTTCTTCCATCCATGATTGGTGATTTCCCTGTCTTGTCAGCACTTTCCCTTTTTGGTGAATGAAGAGTCTTTGTTGTCTTTTCTGGACTGTCCCTGCTAGCAGCCATTTCATCAGGATACTTAGTTGTTTTCTCGGGACTAACTCGGCTAGGTGATCTTCTTTGTCCTGGACCTTTCTCTGGGCTAGAATAGGTAGGTGATGACCTGTTTGTTGACTTTTCTGGACTAGCCCTTGTTGGTGAAGACCTGCTTTTGGGTGTCTTATCAGGACTTGTTCTACCAGTACTCAACGAGTTATCAAGACTGGTCCTATTACGGTAGGTTCTGGTCAGTGGTTTGTTAAACCGATCAGGACTGGAACGATCAAGAGATGTCTTGGAAGAGGAACGTGTAGATGAAGGCGTCGCCCGCTCTGGAGAGGCACGCAGTGATCGAGCAAAAGCTTCATGAGTTGGACTGAGGTCAACACTGATTCGTTTGTTCGTGTATGCTTGCTGGTATGTTGTCACATACTGACCAGTGGTGTCAGCACCGTCTTTCCCGGTTGCCGTGCCTTGATTTGCGACCCCTTGTTTTGGTTCTTCAGTTGCTTCACTAGCTGGTTTCTTCAAATCTGGTTTATCTTCCTTTATTGTGATGGGTGTCTTCTCATCAGTACCTTTTGTTGACTCTAGAACGTCATAGCTGTGGTTCACAGTGGAGCTTGTTCTTTCCTGCTCTATGATATTAGTGTTTTGTTGTGTGCTAAAGTCCTTTTCATCTTGAGCGATATGACCTGAGCGAAAAACAAATTCGTCTGTGGCATTGTTAACAGTCTGATTTTTATCAGATGATACGACTGTCCAGCTGCTGGAATCATGAGTACCTCCCTGGCTTATGTGAGTGGAATTTGCTGCTGTATTCTGTGTGGACAGGAATGAGTCCAGCTTGTTAAGCTCGCTCATAATGTGCTGTTCTACAGTCTTATTACTGCTGCTACTGCTTCCATCCTTTATGAGGATGTTGCTGGAAGCCGTCGCTGTCCCACAAGGTTTATCGATAGCTGTAATTTTTACATCTGATGTTTCAGTGGTGCTTTGAGCTGTCCTTCCAACTAGTTCTCCTGTTTGTGAACGTTGCGTTACACGATGCTTACCGCTTTGACTGCTACTGACCTGATTAGATGCCGTTGTAGTCGAGCTATTAATATTAAGGCTGCCTCCAGTGGGTGAAGATAAATTTGCTGATTCTGATAAAGTTACATTTGAGTCTTCTAATCCTGAAGATATTTTGGAATCTTGATGATCACGTGTTGTGGAGGAAGTAACTGCTGATGTTTTCTCATTTTGCTGATACTGCTGGCTACTGCTTGCAGAGTAAGAAGTTGATGATGCTGAAGACCACTTCTCTGAATGTGATCTGTTTGCTGAGGATGCCATTTCATGGTGGGTGGCATCTTCTATGTTGCTTGTTGAAATTAAGGACTTATGGCCTGTCGTATCCAGTTCAATGGCACCGCTACTTTTAGGTATGCATGATGTGTGCTCAGATGAACTCACTTGAGAGGCAGTTTTAAAGCCCTCATGTTCAGAATCTCCCACAAGACTTCGATGCTCATTCTTGCTAGTGGTGTGAATTACAGTGTCTCCTATTTGACCTGTGGTACCTGTCGATTCATAACCTCCAGAAGAAGACTCCTGAACAATCCTCCAGTACTCTCCTCCACCTCCAGTAGTGGAAGTTGAACTTTCATTCTTCGCATTTCTTTCTTGACGCTGGTGAAATTCACGTGTAGGAGACTCTGAGTCACGGATCTCCTTACTCTTGAGAGTGAGGAAGCCTTCGTCTGCCAGTGAGTCAGCATGTGTGATGTTGTAGCCACCTCCAGAACTGCTGGTTGTGTAGGATGAGCTCTTGCTGATAATTTGGGAGCTGCTGCTGAAATGTGTATTACCAATCAGTCAGCTAACACTTGAAACAGGATGAAGACACAATACAATTTACTTAAATAACTTGTACAAAATCAAAATTATTTCCAACACGCAATTTCACTGGTAACTCCTTTCAAGGGAAACAAAACGGAATGTCATTCCACAATATGGATTGACCTTCTCAGCAGAATACGATTATATCACATTCATACAAGCCAATTGACTCACGTATAAGCACACACTTTTAAAACATTCATACAAGCCTCCTACACAAATTGAAATTTCCCTTCTTAAACAGACATGACTCACGTATAAGCACACACTTTTAAAATTATATTTCTGAAAAGTTCCGGTTAAATTAATGGGAACAGACTCCGGCACTCTGTCTGCGTTATGTCAACATCCATTTTTCTTACAGTACGCCCTACCTCTGGCTGTTCTTGAGGTTGGACGCACTGACGTTTTTCCTTCCGCCATCCAGCGAGGAGGTACTTGTGCTCAGTACATCCGACAACACCTCGCCCGTGGTATAGAACTCCTTCAACCTCTGTTCTCGTAGTTTATACATGCGAGCTCGAATCTCCTTCCTACGCCCAAAGTCCTCCGTTTGTTGCCACTGTCAAACCAACCATAACCACATTAGATCAGCACAAATCCCACGTTTAACATACAAGTCCTTCATTAATCAGAACTTCGCCGTAAAATATAAAAAGTCGTACAGCGAGGATAATTTACAAGCCAAAACACTCGACTCGTTTCATATTCTATTACAGTAAAAAAAGGTCTGTACAGTAGACAGAACCAAATACCGCAGTTGGAAAAACTTAAAACAAACTGAAAAGGTGGTTTATTTAACAATGCTTTTCAGTTGCTCTGACTGCATAGCGTCAAATGAGAGGATGATAGTGAATTTGAAAGGATGTGGAAGGAAGCAGGTGTGACCTAATATTAGGTACTGTCCCAGCATTTGCCTGGAAGGATAGAGGAAAACCATGAAAAACCCCTGTCAGGACAGCCGGTCTCCGGGCCAAGAGTTGAACCACCCGAGACCTCTCGAGCAGGAAACACAATGCGTAATTACTATTAAATAAATTGGTGTATATATTAACTATGACTCACTGATAGTACGTTTCTCGTAGTCTGATTTGAGGCGACCCTTCAGGGCTGAAAACCTGAGCAGCGAATACTACACCAACGATGTGACATCGTACGTTTCCCACTGAATCCATACTCCCTCGGGATAGACAAGAAGTGGTCGTAAATTGTCCAAATATCATTAACTTATTCAAAAACTAACGAACATATTAACAAAATCCGTGGATCTGAGTCCCACAGTACCAGGAAATCGCCGAACTGATCACGAAATCCGATACCAAAGGTTCATTACCGTGCCCACAAAAGGTAGTCAACCATCTAAGTACTCAGCCAGGATAGTCCATCCAGTGCACGGTCTCGCATCCTGTTTCCCGAAGATCCATTTCATTATTATCCTCCCACCTACGAGCGGTCTCTACCCTTAAAGCCCTCCTATCAGCATTTTGCCCAATTTCTCATCTCGCGCCCTTTTCATCCTCACTGATTTTATGACGACAAATTATTTTCGTGTGTGCGAAACACTATACATCGAAAACCGTAACATTCATCCTTATGCTTCGCGTCAAATCGCCTGAAACAGAAGTCGATACTTGAAGTCGATACTTGATGTCGATACTTGAAAGAACAAAGAGACATTCTCAGATGCCTGAAGCTGGAGTCCAGCGCAAGGCGATTGATACTGCAGTCTGGTAGCAAGAGCGTGAACAGCTTATTCAGGTTACAAATCGAACTACTTCCTAATAAGGCAATGCCTTTAGTGACTTGCAGAGTAGGACAGGGCCGCATGAACAAGGGGTCCACTCGGCCCCACGCGCAATTAATCAGAGGAAAAGCAACTACACAAATTGACAAGCATCGACACTTTTATCCGGGTTAACATTTCTGACTCACTCAAGTGTTCTGCGTTTAACCTCGTAAGGTAATCGTAAAAAAACAGTTCGACAGGGGAACAGAGCTTTGGAAAAATGAAATGGTTCTTCCGTCCATTTTCAGACAATGAACCTGATGTAAGAATAATTTAACCGGTTATTTTGACCCTTTAGAGCACAGTGGTAACCATACGTACCACCTGCTACACAACTCAATAACTCTGCAGTTTGCCAACACAGTGTATTCATAGGTTTGGCGTGATTCTTACAATAAACAGAGTTAACCAGTTGATCTTTGCAATGGTGAAGTGTAGTGTTTTCTTCGCGGTACGGACTGAATTCTTAAGTTTCATTTGAAAGAGCTTCGGATCCAAAGGTTAATTAGCGTTTTAGTCGTATTATTTCCTTAAACAAGGTTAACCAGTTGATCTTTGTAATGGTGAAGTGTAGTGTTTTCTTCGCGGTACGGACTGAATTCTTAAATACTATTTAGGCGAGCTTCGGGCTTCAGAGGGTTAATTTCTTTCACAATACAACGCAGACTATTGCTATATAAGGTACAGCTTGTCTAGTTTTTAGGTAGAGGTCTCTCATGCGAATTTAAAGACCGACAAAATGTCTCTCTCTCGTCATATTTCTCGCACCGGTAATCGAAATCAGATACAAACAGGTACCCCCACAAACATCATAATTCCGTTGCCAAGGAAACTCCATATGGCCCGCCGGCATTAATAGCACGCGTCACAAGTCAGAAATCACCCTGATCTCGTCTCTGGTAGCGCAGGGTTCGTTCCCCAGTGCCAATGGATAGACGAGGCGGTGTACCCCACATTCCAAAAATAGCCTAAATCTGTCCACAGATCGGGCAAGAAATCCTGAATCCCGTGAACGTGAGTCTGCCTCAGACGCAGATGGGGCCGAGCGCAGTGCGTGGGTGGCAACGGCCAAATTGAGGCATCCTCTTGACAGAGATATATTTCTGTTCCGCGGGCAATGCCCTCATTCACTGATGACCGGTGGATGTTGTGATGGCGAGAAGGCCTCCTTCAGACGCCATTTTTAACTAACTGAACCGATACTTCCTGACAAGCTGATAGTCGCTCAGGCATTCCATGAATTCCCCGCCTTTTATGGAACTCAGAGATTCGTTAGCGCGCTCACATGGTTCGCATGAATCCAGCCAGTCCACGCATCCACAGACTATTTTGTCAACATCCATGTTAGTAATACCATTATTTTATCAAAGCCTAGGTCTTTCAAGGGGTCTAATCCTTTCAAGACCTTTTTACTATTCGTTATGAAACTAAAATACAGAGACCTGAAAGAATAAGTATTAGCAAAAGGCATCCAAGTCGGAAAGACTGCGTAATGCATGTCCTAAACACAGACGGTGGTTAAAATGTCGTTAAAGTTTGAAGGTTTTTTTAACAGGAAAGTTCTCTGCTCTGGGTTGTTGCGCTGTGTAGTCTGGTCGATGTTTACCAACGTTTCAGAGGTCATACTGCCTCCGTCATCAGGACGATGAATATTCACACAGCGCAATAACCCAGAAGACAGAAATCTTCATACTCACCGCTGTGAGAACCTCAAGTCTTACATATAACCAACTTATTTTATAAGAAAGTTAGATTGAAATTGGAGGGCATACACATCCCTGGAGGGACCGAGGAAGTAGGAAGGGTCTCGGGACAGCCAGTCTCCGAGCCGAGAACCGAATCCACGACGTCTAGAAAACAAAACACTACCACCAAACACTTTATCTTAAGTACGTCACACAACTGTGCTGTGACCACTCACCATTCTGCGCAGAAGGTCCTCATCTTGAATGAGAGAGACGTCATTCACTTGGGCCGACATGGTCTCCGCTCCTCCACCTGCAAAGTGGTAATACAGATTGTGATAATTACGCCGTCCAGCCAATAAAATTATGCAGGTATATCTATGACCTTTCCTCTCGTAAAGTTAACGGTTCAATATATGATGAGATGACGAGAAAAACTAACTCCGGATTTTGTTCCGTCCGCCATGTTTCGTAGTATACGTACAATAAACGCGATCTTGACAAAAAGTCGCGTATTTTTCGAAAAATCTATTACCGCGTAACATTTCAGCATCAAGAAATTTAAAGATGCCAGCTCGCCCACGAAAGTGAACAAAGGAGATCCATGAAATATTTATTTACCACTTCAGAATCCAGTTATGACGTCATTCCGCACTTCCCACTCAGACAGCGTCCCACTTGAGTCCATGTGCGGAAAACTGACAAAGCAGAATACTAACTAACTTTCGAAAGACACCGTTAACAAGCGAGGAGAGGGAAAATTTTAGGCTGGTTTTAGAAGGGAAGAGGCCTGGGTTTATTTGAGTCCCTTTCCTGGTTACGTTAAATTCGCTAGTGTCTATAGAAACAAATAAGAAATTAGAAAGGTCAATTAAGCTTCTACCTAATGCCACGTCTCTTAAAATCCATTTATACGACGGCCGTGCAATATTCTAAGATTAGGGACCGCCCAGCTCCAGAAATAATAAATAAATTAATAATATCAAATTTTTATTTCCCAATCTCAACCTCTGAGAATTTTTTACATCTTCTATAAGAATATTTATATGAACCACGCTGAAAAACTTAGGGCAAGTAACAAGTAGATTTTCTCTTTGTGACCCACATTTAATCCAACGAAAGTCTCTACCGAAATTTAAATTCAAGTTTGAGCAGCACAATATTTCAAATTCCAACGCAATCTGTTGTATAGCCGATCTTTTCACGTGCTGCTTCTATAAAGCGCGTAAAATTAATGTAAATTTCGCACTCAGACGTCCAACTTAAGAAAAGGCAAGCCTCCTTTGCCCTAGTCATCACCGCTCTGTTTCCAGGCAGCTGTTGCGTGTCTGATTACACCTGAAAATCATGGCCTTCCTTTTGGAAAGGGGAACAATCATTCGCTGGCAGAGTGCAAGTAAGTTACTCACCTTCCATGTCTTGGAACCAGACAGACACACAGAAGCTATCACGACACACTAGATTCATAATTAAACAGATGACAATCTGTTTCTGCATTGCCACTTAGTAATTTTCAAGGTAGTGTTCGAAATGTTACTGTAAAACCACTTATAAAATGGAATTACAATCTGGTTAATTTAAAATCCCCCCCAATCCTTTTTTGTAATTTTGCAAGTCCAAGGCGTCTAAAAAATATTCAATTAAATCAAATTGGCAACCTGGTCACATTACCAAAATACAAAGCGTATCTGCTTGTTAGATGTGATCTATACGTGTCAGTACAGATCCTGTGACTATTTGGGTTTAATACGTATATCAGATAACATACGCCGAATGTCCGAAATTCAGTCATCGTTTGTAAATTTGCAGACACCCTGGTTTAGACGGAGTCCTCCAGTGAACAAATTGCATCTGTCAATGAGTAAATGTCCAGTGCACATGAAGTCCGGTTAATTTTGTAACCATGTCTGGCAGTCTACGTAAATGTTTGTGGCAGACGGCTTAGACACTGCCAGAATAAGACCGAATTTACAACCTGGTGAATGTCGAATGCGAGCGACCTCTTGTGACCACGGTAATGAACATTAGAGTTACAGAAAAGTCAGGAAATTTCTTTACTAGCTTAGCCACTACCAGCTTCTCAACATATCTCCAACATAAATTTAGTGTTTAACCTGCTGATGAAACTATATAGGCCCTGCTGACGTTTCAAAGCTAACAAAAAGTGCAAAGTTAAAAGGAAACTTTCTAACGCGTGGGGTTCTCTCTCTCCAAACGCCCTACGGTTCGAGTCTCGGTCCCGACATGTTTCTGGTCTGCCTTGAAACTGACAAGTGACGTGGGAGGCCTGGACTGAACTTACTTTGTGTTTTCTGTGGCATGGTATTGAGAATGACAGATAACAGGACGAGACAGTTCAGCAGATTTATCAAACTTCGAACCACGATTATACAGAGGTGGAGGGCGCACACATGACAAGACAGATGGACGTACGTCCCATGTAAACGGATCATCGTATGTAATATGTAAGCATGTGAGAGACTTTCAAGTATATAAAAGATGAAATGAGCCTACCCGCTGAAATTGAAGGAATGCTCGTAAAACTCTTCATAAACAGATCGTTCAGCTTGAATCTGAGAGATCAGTTTCTTTAACTATCTCATATCACGTGTGCGTGATATGTTTATCAAGTTGCGAGCATTCAAAATAAATACTCAGCTAGTACCGTTAATAGCTGTAAAAAAATTGTTGCTAACTGTCGTAACAAATAGCTGTTGAACAAATCCTTTGTAAAGAACAACTAAAAGACAAAAACAGCACGTCAAATATTCAGCGATGTAAAAAAGCTGACCATTTAGTTAACTTCCAAATTAATAACTTCAGCATTTTCTAATATGCAACTCAAAATTTCCGTCGTTTCACGTGGCGACCTGGGCGACCATCGCGAGTGTTACGTAAGAGCGGCCTTCACGACGTGTGCAATATGGCAACCTCGCAACATGTGAGATTCCGGCGACATGTACGACATACATGAGAATGTCCACTTGCGCTTCGGTTAGGTGTGAATAGGGAAAATATGTTGGGTTCGGTTAAGTCAGGGAAAATCAGGTCACAGCGGGATTAGTAGGATTGGGTTAGGAGAGGTTAGGTTTGGTCAGGTTAGGTTAGGTTAGGTTAGGTTAGGTTAGGTTAGGTTAGGTTAGGTTAGGTTAGGTTAGGTTAGGTTGTGGTGTTAGGTTACGTCGGAGTGGTCACATTTTTCGTTGCTACGACCTTTGTTGCGACGCCCGGCGTCGGTTTACCAACTTCGTGTTCGAAGGCATCCGTGTGCTTCCCTGCGCTAAAATGGCGTCTCTTTAAGAGTTAACGACGCTGGGCGTCGCGACGCTCAACGTCGTGTTACTAAAGACCTTTATAATGACATCTAAACATCTGCGGTAATTGTGGAGTTGTTTAATGGGCGTCGGGACGAAAAAGCGTCGCGACGCCGGGCGTCGGTTTTCCGAAATTCGTGTTCAAAACAATCACTTCGCCTTTCTGTGCTAAATTGGCGTCTGCTGAAGACTTACGGAAACTCGGCGTCGCGACGCTCGGCGTCTAATTTCCAAAGCCTTTAGAGTGACTTCCAAAATTAAATATGGTAATTGCGTAGTTCTACTGTGGGCGTCGCGATGAATAGGCGTCACGACGCCAGGCGTCGGTTTTCTAATTTAGTGTTCAAAGGCACTATTGCGAATTTTGTGATTAATTGACATTTATTTAATACGTAACGACGCTGGGCGTCGCGACGCTCTGCGTCGTTTTTATAAAGTCAGTTATAATGACATACAAACATAACTGCGGTAATAGTGGACTTATTTGATGAGGTCGCCATGAATAGGCGCCGCGACGCCGAGCGTCGGTCTATGAAATTTAGATATACATGTTCAAGGGCACCCCTGCGCTTTTCTGTGCAAAAATGGAGTCTGTTGGAGACTTAACGCAGTTCGGCGTCGCATTTCGATCGTCCTTTCTAATGGCATCCAAACTTAACTGCTGCAATTGTTGAGCTTTTGAAGCGCTTTGCGATTGAAGACGTCGAGACGCCGGGCGTCGCTTCTCGAATATCATGTATAGTGTCATCCTACGATCCATCTGCCCTAATAATGGCGTCCTTTGTCGTGTCGGCTGGCTTCGCGACGCTTGTCTTCGGTTTTCCAACGTCTTCTATGATGTTTGGGGCTTTATTTGTGCAGAGGGCCACGACGCCGTACGTAGAGGCCATCTTCGTCGGTTTCCCACTTTGTGTTTAAATGAATACTAGAATGACGTCTGTTGACGGCGTCATGTTCTGCATCGCGACGCTCGGCGTCGGCCTTCTAACTTCATGTTCAAAGGTACCTCGACGCATAGTTATGCAAAATGTAACTAATGCTAACAGCGTCTTGACGACTGACTGTGCGACGATTGGCGTCTGTTGTCGTGTGGTTTCGTGGTGATAATACGCGTCGCTTTTGCAAATTATTCTCCAATGACATTCGCTGGACGGCATCTTTTCTTGTCTACGCGACGTCTGAAACCCGTTTTCCATGTGTTGGTTGGGATCCCGATGTTCATCTTGTTTCGTTTTAAACGTCATTCCGTCAAACAGCGTAGACGATCCTCGAGATGACATCTGATGCGATGCTGGAAAACCGACGCTCATATACACTCTACGTGAAGTCAACTGCAGGCGTCTCGACGCCCGGTGTTGGTTTGGGTGTATCCTGCCTATGGCGTCACGATGCACATTTCGGCTTGATTCGGAATTGAAATCTGCCAAGTTTGGTTCAAATCGGTTACTCCGTTCTCAAGCTTTTTCAATAACAAACACATAAACCCACGTTGCTAGGCGATTCTCAGTGTCCCACCGCGAGTTTTCCTTCGCTGGACAGACGAAGAACGATGCAGCAGACGAGGGTCAAGGCGTAGGACGCCCAGCTTGCCGTAAAAGGATTTGAAAATGGAGGCGGGGGGACACATATCCAGGCTATCGGGAATTTTTATTATAATTCCCGCCCATCGGATACCCACACTAACAACACCTACAGACATCTAGTGGAGCACGAACGACTCCGAAGTATTCATAAGTACACCTATCTCTGAATCATACAACGTATCATAATAGTCGTGTTTATTCTATTATACTTGATGAAATCTTAGAACGACTCGAGTGTGAGGTACAGACACGGACAGCAAAATTGACATTTGTCCAGATTAAAATACAGACTTCCTTGCGAAGCAAAGAGTTTTTTTAGGTAATCGAGGTATTTAATCCCTGCCTTTTATGGAATAAGAAGGTTTATTTTCGTGTTCATAACAACTAGGATCAGTTAAATGTAGTCCACATTCCAA